TAATAAAAATAATAATAATAATGTAATGTTATGTAATGTAACGCAATGTAATATAATGTAATGTAATGTATAATGTAATAAATGTATAATACATATAAATAATTGTGAGGTACACTAATTTAAATTTACGAGTAAAGTTATTTAGCAATGACCACCAGCTGATTGGGAAATTGTGGAAGGATACAGAAGTGAATTAGGTGTGAATGTATATATGCATATATATATATATATATAGATTGTAGATAAATATATGTAGATTGCGTGTGTGAAATATAATATTGGCAAATTGATGACTACCCAATTTCTTGTGGTTTTTGGCAAAGGAATCACTGCTTCCCTGGGACCGTATGAAGACTTTGGATCTCCAGGGCAACCCATGGCAGTGTGATTGCACCTCGCTATGGATGCCCGGCCTAAAGACTAATATTAACTGGCGATTCCAGACTAATTTCATGTGAGTATATAACGATGACAAGGAATTTCTTTAGCTTCACACGGGCACTATTAGATTTTACTGGGGATGGTGACGGAATTTAAAGGAAACATACAATGGTTTTATAAAAAAGAATAGATACTATGTGTCACTTGATGATAATTAAACAAAATTATAAAATCAAGCGATTAAAGTGTTCTTTCGGAGAAAGAACTTCATCAACAAACTTTGCTTTTTCTCATTTTCTTGAAGCCACTAACCAGCAATTGAGACTCGAACATTTGCAATGGCCATTAAGCTTAAAATCGCATTATTATTTTTTTCTTTTTTCTTACTGTCGTCTTCCAAGGATTCCTTTGCTTATTCGCTCTGTAGATGCGCATCGCCCGAGAACCTAAAAGGGCAGAAGATCATCGGCTTAAACAGCACATTATTACAATGTGACGTCAGCGATGGCGTCAACCTCTCCACTGGCGTCATCGCCGCCATGATAGTTGTCGCTGCCGCTATATGTGCGTCAGCGTTTGCAGCGTGTTTCCTGCTGGGCGCTAAGAAGCCGTGTATGAGTAAGCGCGAACAGGTCCGACGACAGTCGAAGTATGTTTCGATGCTGTCCAGCGGAATGCAGGACGACGAGGGACTCGTGACGGTAGTTGGCAGGGATGAATTGATCACGTAATCGCGAAGTGATTTAGAGCACGCGTGAACCGATGCAAATTCAACTTGTCATTAATTAATTGTCATTGAATTGTCATTGAATGGGTTCGTGGTGAATTGGAAACTGCATGCGGCGCCCCCTTCGTACAACGTTTACCGGATACGATGAATTGAGCAATAGAAGAGCGCCATCTGTCGTGGAGTTTGGGTGAATTGTTTCGATTTCGCTCACTCGTGAATTGGGCGCGAATTTATTTAATCACGAATTGCTGTGAATTAGTTTGACCGTGAACTGGTGTGAATTCGTTTGTTAATGAATTGATACGAACTCACGTTCAACTAAAAGTCAATGTAGTCATTGAAGACGCTCGTTTTTTCTACAAGATGCGGTGCTGGCTTCTTTCCTAGATACGAAAGATCGATACGATAGATACGAAAGCATCACCGTACCAACAGTAATTAAGGCTATCGATTGTGTAAAAATAGTAAAATTCGTTCACAAAGAGCAATTTCCTTATTCTTTAGTATATGTGCGAACAACGTTAGAGCGATCTATGAATTATTGTATGTAATATTACTTGTGTGTGTATGTTTCATTTCTAGTGTTTTTCGTTTATGTAGTCAACTGCAGCACGCTATCATGTTACATTCGGGACGAGGGGTTTCTTGTGATTACAGACAGACATGCATTTGCTTAGAGGCGTGTAAATCAGCTTCTAGAAGTGTCTGAACAGGTTCGATAAACTTTTCGGAAAGAATTGAGGGTAATCTTGATCGTTATCAAGCTACATGTCGAGGCAATGGTCATATTTGGATTAAACAGCTGACATATTCCTCTCACAAGGTTGAGTAATTTTTAAACCTAATTTAGGAAGAGTGTCGTTTTTAATATATCACGATATTCCTGTGTTTGAATATGTAAACGAGCGTCCAAGGGAACCGTGACTGCGCGTTCTTTGTGTCATTTCCAGGGGTGGTATATACAGCCACATTTACTTAACCTATCAAACCAAGCGATGTGTATGTGTGTGTGTGTTTGTGTGTGTGTGTGTGTGTGTGTGTGTGTGTGTGTGTGTGTCTCTCTCTCTCTCTCTCTCTCTCAATCTCATGTTTACGAAACGCGCGACAGATCACCGACGTGTCTACTGACGTTTTATGAGCCGTTGACATTTGGATATATTTACTGCCGCTCGAGTGTAGTCGGTGGTGGTTCGCTTATACTCCACCAACGATCACAGCGGCGGCGTGTGTGAATGCAGTGCCCTTACTCGCTGTAGGCATCGGCTATAAATTCGCCGAATTAAGGGTGAGTCGGTTTGTTTGCTTGCTATCATCGTTTGTGAGGACTATGTACGTGCGTGTGAGCGTGAATCGTATAGGAGGCAGTGCCGAATGTCCCGACCGCTTATAACAGGAGGCAATGACAACTGTAGCTTTACGCAATCGCGTGGTTAAAGTGATTACGTCACCGTAAATAATAAAAAATAAAAAATAAATTTTTACTTTCTCGCAAAATATAAGTAGGCCCCTAATTCTGTTCACTTTTTATGGTTAAATTGCTGCATTATACTTCTTATTTTACTATATTGTTCGATGTGAACATACACTCGTGACGCATACATAGCCCATAGCAAGCAATTAATGTCAGGAACACTAATATTAAATCGTTCAGGTTTTTTTGATTTTTAACTAGTTGAGAAACAATCTTATCAGGTAACGACACGTTCAGGTCAGGTTCAGACAACGATCAGGTAACGACAGGATCAGGTAACGACACGTTCAGGTTCAGGACGTCAGGTATCAGTTTGACGATACGTTTAGTCCCGTTAGTTCTTACTTTTAATGTAAAAAAATGGCAACAACATTTTTACAAATTTTACCATAGAAAATTCGTGACGTAGTCAATTTAAACAACTATTTAATCAGTTATTAATCGGCGTTTAATCACTGTCTGTAATTATGTAATATATGATATCGTACCCGTGTCTACACGAGAAAAATAACTATGGTTATACGTTTGCAAAAAGACGTAAAAAACCGGACTTTTCTAATGCTCGTGTGGATGCGACATCTATGGTTTAACATTTTACACGTTTGTGTTTATTTGCGTACCATGATTGTGTATATTTGAATAGAGCAGGACTAGCGCATTCACACCAGTTACTTTAGTAATCATATGGTGCTTATAGGTATGCCAAATTTGGTATTGGTATTGGTTTTGGTATTTGGTATTTCGTTGAAAATTAATATTTTAATTTAGTGAGCACATACCCGCCAGTCACTCTGATAAGTATAAGGTGTTTAATCGCACCAAATCTCCGTGTAACCACGCGGGATACCTTTAATCGCACATGCCCATTATCTCACAAACAAAACAAGACTTTGCTGAGATTATGCATTTAAAATGAGGAGGGGATGCTCGTCGTAGTAGCTTCACATTAAAAATAAATCCCGATATCTCTCATTAATAATTTATAGCATGCTCTAGCTGACGTAAGGCTAATAAAACCTAAATCAGCCAACAGATGGCGATATGTGCCCTACATGACACACACATCTTTATGTTTAACTTTTATTACATTTGAAGTTATATTTTCAACTTATAGAACACATCGACCAGCTACTTTAAAGACACGGAGTAAAGCAAAATCGATGCGGCTATTAGGAGTAAACTACACTTGCTGACACAACAGTTGCCGATATGCGCCCTCTATCAAATGCGTATTAAGTCTGATGTCTGTGAGATTAATAGCGCGTTCACACGTACCGTAAAACGCAGTTTCGAACGCGTATCTTACGGACTCCGTAAGATACGCGTATAGCGTGACCTTGAGTTAAACAGCGTTCACACGTAGTTTTGGAATGTACGTACGTCGCGTTATAGCTGGCGCATAGGGCGAAAAGAAACGATAGATTTACGCCAAATGCGGTTATAGGTTCGTGCTTTTTGCTATACTCTCTTTCTCTTTCTGTGTCCCATCTCTGTGTGTTGGCGCGCGCCCTCTCCTCTTTCCTCCTCTCTCTCTCTCTCTCTCTCTCTTTTTTTCTCTCTCCCTATCTCTATG